TTTCGTACTATTTTAAAAAATTTAGTATTAGTGTTTAGTGTTCTTTCTCAGTGTTTCTGTTTCGTTTTCCATCACAAATATCTAAACATTCTTAAATCAAGAGACATTTACTGGAGAAGAAAAATGACTTAAGATTTTAAATCTTGTTTACTGAAAATTTTTTCAAAATTGTGATTTTGTGCTGAAAACAAGAACAAATATCTGCTAATGGAGTCAAAAACAAAAATCCTCTAGTTTTCCCTTTGAATCAAGTGTATTTTTCTTGTTTTAAGCATAACTCACTCACTTTGGTTTGATACTTCTTTCAGAAAACAAGAACTAAAATCTTAAGTAATTTTTTACTTTGCAAGTAAATGTCTTATTTTGGAGTGTTTAGATATTTGTATTGATAAACGAGACAGAAATACACTCTAAAAAATGCTGGGTTGTTTCAACCCAAAGTTGTGTCAAATATGGACAAACCCAAATGTTGGGTTAAAAATGTAATTTAAAATTTTAACCCAACTTCAACTTTCACTTTCAACTGTACATTTTTTAATTACATTTTTAACCCAACATTTGGGTTTGTCCATATTTGACCCAACTTTGGGTTGAAACAACCCAGCATTTTTTAGAGTGTACCAATAAACTGTTTTGTGCAGTGATCGGTGTGTGTGTGTGTGTGCAGTGTATCGTCACAGAAGTGTGTGATCGCTGTGTGTGTGTGTGTGTGTGTGCAGTGTATCGTCACAGAAGTGTGTGATCGCTGTGTGTGTGTGCAGTGTATCGTCACAGAAGTGTGTGATCGGTGTGTGTGTGTGTGTGCAGTGTATCGTCACAGAAGTGTGTGATCGCTGTGTGTGTGTGTGTGTGTGTGTGTGTGTGTGCAGTGTATCGTCACAGAAGTGTGTGATCGCTGTGTGTGTGTGTGTGTGTGTGCAGTGTATCGTCACAGAAGTGTGTGATCGCTGTGTGTGTGTGTGTGTGCAGTGTATCGTCACAGAAGTGTGTGATCGGTGTGTGTGTGTGTGTGCAGTGTATCGTCACAGAAGTGTGTGATCGCTGTGTGTGTGTGTGTGTGTGTGTGCAGTGTATCGTCACAGAAGTGTGTGATCGCTGTGTGTGTGTGTGTGTGTGTGCAGTGTATCGTCACAGAAGTGTGTGATCGCTGTGTGTGTGTGTGTGTGTGCAGTGTATCGTCACAGAAGTGTGTGATCGCTGTGTGTGTGTGCAGTGTATCGTCACAGAAGTGTGTGATCGCTGTGTGTGTGTGTGTGCAGTGTATCGTCACAGAAGTGTGTGATCGCTGTGTGTGCAGAATCAGGACGAGGCATCAAACACTGTTAATTGCAGTTGATGCGCTGCGTCTTTAATCCTGTGTTTCTGTGCCGGTTAAAACAATCATTACAGGACAGGAGGGTTATTTAGGGCTCAGCGTGCGTCTCGATACACACACCCCACCCTCCTCATTCAGCATCCCTCTCTCTCTCTCTCTCTCTCTCTCTCTCTCTCTCTCTCTCTCCCTCCTGCTCTTTCTGCATGAAACTCTCTCACTCTCGGGTTGCAACGCGACACTGAGGCTTTTATTTTATCCTGAAAGGAGCATGTGAATATGCATTGCTGCTGCAGTTCACAGCCCTTTGTGAGTGTGTGTTATAGAGAAAGAAAGCAAGAGAATATATTGAGAAACACAATGAGAGGGAGAGTGGGTGGGGGGGTGGGGGGGGGGGGGGGGGGGGGTTCAGATTTATAATAACCAGTCCTGAAGTTACAGACCGGCAGAAGCTCATCCTCTGATCGGCTGTGTGTCGCGTCCAGGGCTGAGTAATGTATAATTAAAGAAATACACTAAATACTAATGCTACGCTAAGCATGATATGTTGCAGTGTGTTTGCAGTTTGTAAGGGTGTTTTCACTCGGGTATTGTTGGAGAATGAACTGGCGACAGGCTGTGGGAGTCACATGATACTCGGATGATAATTACAGTGAGGGTCCGAAACACGAGATCTTTTTAATGTGGTGTTTGGCGTTGTTACAGCCGCCAGATCGCTTCTGTGTGTGTGTGTGATTGTGTGTGTGAGTGTGAGTGTGTGAGTGTGAGTGTGTGAGTGTGAGTGTGTGAGTGTGAGTGTGTGAGTGTGAGTGTGAGTGTGAGTGTGTGAGTGTGAGTGTGTGAGTGTGTGTGTGTGAGTGTGTGTGAGTGTGAGTGTGTGAGTGTGAGTGTGAGTGTGTGAGTGTGAGTGTGAGTGTGTGTGTGTGAGTGTGTGTGTGTGTGTGTGTGTGTGTGTGTGTGTGAGTGTGTGTGTGAGTGTGAGTGTGTGAGTGTGTGAGTGTGTGAGTGTGTGAGTGTGTGAGTGTGTGAGTGTGTGAGTGTGTGTGTGTGTGAGTGAGTGTGTGAGTGTGTGAGTGTGTGTGTGAGTGTGTGTGAGTGTGTGTGAGTGTGTGAGTGAGCGTGTGTGTGAGTGAGTGTGTGTGTGAGTGTGAGAGTGTGAGAGTGTGAGAGTGTTTGAGTGTTTGAGTGTGTGAGTGTGTGAGTGTGTGAGTGTGTGAGTGTGTGAGTGTGTGTGTGTGTGAGCGAGCGTGTGAGCGTGTGAGCGTGTGTGAGTGAGTGAGTGAGTGAGTGAGTGAGTGAGTGAGTGAGTGAGTGAGTGAGTGAGTGAGTGAGTGAGTGAGTGAGTGAGTGAGTGAGTGTAAGTAATCAGCAATATTTTAAAATGTATACGATGTTTAATAGGCAGCCAATGCAGTGTTGACAGAACCGGGCTAATATGGTCATACTTCCTGGTTCTGGTAAGAACTCGAGCGGCTGTGTTTTGGACCAGCTGGAGTTTGTTTATTAAGCGTGCAGGGCAACCACCCAGTAGAGCATTACAGTAATCTAGCCTTGAGGTCATGAACGCATGAACTAACTGTCCCGCATCTGTCACTGAGAGCGTATCAAGCGTAGCGTCAGTTCTGGCGGGTCACGCTAGTCGAGTGCGCATCAGTGACTCTCAGCTGATCCTCTACTATAGGAATACGACTCTTATCACTGTATACATATATAATCTCTTCAGTATTATCAGCAGCAGATATTTATGATAGTCACGGTGTCAGATTACAAGATTTTGGCTGATGTGGGTATTGACAACATGGAAGATTTTGACTCCTAGAATCTTGTCGTGTCGTGGACAAGAAACATGTCAGACATCACAAAATATCTAATCTGAACAAGGCATTACCTGGAAGACCTAAGCGAGTATGTTGCCAATACCCGCATCAGCCATAGCAACAAGCATGTTGCCAATACCCGCATCAGCCATAGCAACAAGCATGTTGTCAATACCCGCATCAGCCATAGCAACAAGCATGTTGCCAATACCCGCATCAGCCATAGCAACAAGCATGTTGCCAATACCCGCATCAGCCATAGCAACAAGCATGTTGTCAATACCCGCATCAGCCATAGCAACAAGCATGTTGTCAATACCCGCATCAGCCATAGCAACAAGCATGTTGTCAATACCCGCATCAGCCATAGCAACAAGCATGTTGTCGTTTACGAATCCCCACGACACCCTACGTCAAATGGATCGTGCCAAAATCGGGCTAAAATCGTGTAATCTGAACCAGGCATAAGGGCAACATGCTCAAGGCTTCCGGTATTGTTGGTAACATGTTTGCTGCCTCGGCTCGGCTCTCTCCGGAAGCTGCAAACGCATCCAGACCTGCGCTGTCAGTTGGGTTTGGGGGATATTGGTATATGGTTTTGTTTTGGGGGGTTATCGCTGCTCTCCTGCTCTTATCCATGCTAGGCTGCCCAGAACAGAACCAGACCGCCAATGCAAAATGTATGCTAATTGTCAATCGTATTTGATGATAGTGGTCCTGACAGAAGTGTTGTATTTTATCTATATTTTTAAGATGAAGAATTCAGTTTTACAGATGCTAGAAATGTGGCTTTCAATTGAAAGATTGGTATCAAAGAGCACACACACACACACACACACACACACAGGTTCCTAACCGACGACGAGGACTTGACAGAGCAGCCATCAAGTGTTAGACAGTATTATAGGTTATTGCGTGTGGACGTTTTTTGTTTAATAATTAGAATCTCTGTTTTTTCAGAATTAAGTCGTAGGAAATTACTAGTCATCCAATTTTGTATATTAGCTATACATTCCGTTAATTTTGTGAATTGGTGCGTTTTGTCAGGGCGTAGAAATATAAAGAAATATAGAGCATCATCAGCATAACAGTGGAAACTAATGCCATGCTTCCTAATGATATCTCCTAATGGTAGAGTGTATGTGTGTGTGTGTGTGTGTGAGTGTGTGTAGCATGTACAGAGAGTGTGTGTGTGTGTGTATGTGTGTGTGTGTGTGAGAGAGAGAGTGTGTGTAGCATGTACAGAGAGTGTGTGTGTGTGTGTATGTGTGTGTGTGTGTGAGAGAGAGAGTGTGTGTAGCATGTACAGAGTGTGTGTGTGTGTGTGTTTGTAGCATGCACAGAGTGAACAGCAACGGTCCTAGTACTGAGCCTTGTGGTACGCCATACTGAACTTGTGTGTGTCAGTATCGGTGTGTGTGTGTCAGTATCAGGGTGTGTCATAATCTTGTCTGAGGATATTTAAAGACACCTACAGCAGATTCAACACAGATACTGACGGAGGAAGTGAAAATCAGCTCTCATGCATATTTAGAACGAGGCATATCAATCCAGAAAAATACAATTATTCACAGTTTCCACTAAAATATGAAGCTGTTTTCAACACTGATAATAATCATAAATGTTTCTTGATCATCAGATCCTCATGTTAGAGTGATTTCTGAAGGATCATGTGACACTGAAAACTGGAGTAATGATGCTGAAAATCACAGGAATAAATTACACTTTACTGTATATTCACATAGAGAACAGCTGATCTACACTGTTGGATTCAGTACAAAAGTGTAGCATGTGTTTGTACTTATTTTGTATTGCTTTAAAACACGATACAGATGATAAACTGACACTGTGTGTGTGTGTGTGTGTTTCAGGCAGGACGGGCGTCTGCCGGAGGGTGTGTCGGTGCAGAGAGAGAGGCTGGTGTTCGTTCGGCCGCTGAATGTGTCGGACGAGGGTCTGTACGTGTGCCAGACTGGGAACATCGTGGGAACCGCGAAAGCCCAGTTTAAACTGGAGATCGGACGCGAGGTCGGACGTAGGTGTTACATCTAATAAAGACTCGTTCAGAACAAATGACTCACACTTCATCATCACACTGACCGACCGCATGGGTTTCCCACAACTTACATCATATTAATGCCATTACTGAACGATGACCATAGAAGGACACTCGCTCGGGTAAAGCTCAGCTCAGACACAATGGAGATTATTCCTCGGACTCCACTGGCAGATATTTGTCTTGTTTGAAGCACAAACTCACTTCATTTTTATACATTTTTACTTGATTGATTGATTAAAGTTTATTTCGAGAAAAAAATATATATATATATACTAACATAATACATAGAAAAAAATAGAACAGTTTATCTCCCATATATATACGTATCTATACATATACATATACATTACAAATAATGATTTCCATTACACGAGAGTAGATGTTAAAACTTCATGCTGATTTGTACTCGGCTTTCGCCAAGATAAGCAAAACTAAGACGTAGCTTTACAGTAAACTATGCTTCTCCATCCATTTACGCTTCTTTCCATAAGGTAGTGTGACTCCCCTTCTGTCCGGCGTTAACGGCAGCAGTGTACTTGGCGCGTTAGCGCACGCGACGGCTGCAACTACAGGACCAGCACGACAACCGTCTGGATTGAACCGAGTAGGGGACATCTCTAGGGTCTTCAAGTGGGCACCTTCCGTCCTCAGTGTTTCGTCGACTAGCCCACGACACCTCAAGAGGGCTCGACAGTGACTCTGGCGTCCCAGAGTCACCCCCCTCCGTCCCCCACTCAACTCAGCCCAGCTTACTGACCTCTACATCCCTCCTGCTGCTGAGACCTAACCACAATATCACAATCTCTCCGCGACCCAACCATACGCGCCAACCCGTTGACTAAGGCTGTCGAGCCCCACTGGTGCGTTAATATGCAGTTTCAGTGGACAACGGTTCCGTATGGCATACCACCTACCGCAAAACACAATATCTACCCAACCACCCGTCATTCACGCAATATCCACAGGAACGTATACAAACAAACCAACAGACTCTTCAAGTTTTAAAGAACTCTACGAAACCGTAGCGTGGCGGCCTGTACACAGCCAGCTAGAATCTTTCCGTCTCAACCACAGCCAGTTGCTGCTCCTTTCTGCTGCTTCAGATAAGTTCTTTACTGTGCGACGCAACTCTTGGCCGCTGAATCCGACGTCTCTGAGGAACCGGGTTGTAGAGTGTGCCACAAAACCTCGACAACCCACTTCCACTGGATAAACCTGGACTCTCCATCCTCGCTGTTCTGCTTCAGTGGCCAGATGAGCATACCGCAGTTTCTTCCTCTCATATGCCTCATCTACCGCATCCTCCCATGGCACTGTTAACTCTATCAGTTGAACAATGCGTGCTGATCCAGACCACAAAACAATATCTGGTCGTAGGTTAGTGGTGGCAATCTCAGGTGGAAAAATAAGCCGTTGGTCAAGATCAGCCAGCATCTTCCAGTCCCTAGCAGCTTCCAGTTGTCCTGGGCGAGAATTGGTGTTAACACCTTTTCTTGGTGGTTGCTCGCCTGGGCGGAGGAATATTGTCTTCTGCGTGTAATGTTTTGCTAGAACAGGTAGCAACTTATTAGTCATGTTACGCTTGCCTTCCAATGCTAAAGCCAAACATTGCAGTACTTGGTCATGGCGCCAAGTAAACCGACCTTGGCTAAGAGCCACCTTACATCCTGTCAAAATGTGCCTTAATGTGGCAGGTGATGAACACAAAGGACAAGAGGGATCCTCTCCTACCCAGAGGTTTAGGTTCTGCGGTGATGGGAGAACATCATATGTTGACCTAATAAGGAAACTGATCCTACTCTCTTCCATTGACCAAACGTCTTGCCAGCCCATCTTACGTTGTTCCACACTCTCCCATCTCATCCACTCTCCCTGCTTGGCCTGTGAAATGGCCTTTATACACCTCATCCTCTCCTCCTGCTGTCGCACCTCGTTGACTACCAGCTTCCTCCTTTGAGCTGGGCCTGCCTTGTGCCATTTAGGAGGAGCTAAACTGAGCCCAAAACCCCCAAAACTATACACATACTGTACATACACACATTACAATTATGATACACATATCCACATATTTATATACAAAATACCCAATTACATTATGACCGTCTCAATAATCACAATAATGCAATGTAATAATCCTTATTATCATAAACATTCAAATATGTCCCAGTATTTATAATTATCACATAATATATAAAATATCTTAATATCTTCAGCAGGGACGTGCACAGGGGGGTTGCTCAGGTTGCCCGGGCAACTGCCCATATGCCCTTCTCGACTCAGGTTGCCCTTCAAAAAAAAAAAAAAAAAAATTCGTACAATGGATGCAGAATTTCACGTAGGCCTATATTAAAATAATAATAACAAAAATAAAATCGCAAAGCCTCATTCACTTCCATTCGGGCACCGAAAGTGAAAGTCAGTAAGGGAAGGGCAAACTGTTTACATGGCTGTAGCGCTGCACGCGACCGGCGTAGGGCCACGCAAATTACTTAAGGCCCCGCCTCCATCTCGTGTCATAGCGCGTCAATTAATGTGTACAACATCCATAAGTGTACCATATGCATCAGCCGTTTAGCCAGCGTTCCGTGGGCGTGACCTCTGAGGCTGAGACTACTTTGTGCCTGACAAAAGTGAAAGTAAAATACAATTATTTATTACGTTTGATTTTGATAAACGACAAAGCGCAATGGTGTTTGTTTACTGCAGCTCGGAAAACATAACCGCGTCGCGTGTGTTATCGTGCGTTCATATGCGCGTGCACGAAATGAAACGCGCATTTTTCAAGCAGAAATATGTGGAGACCAGACATGCTGTACAATACATGCGTGAATGATGGCACTCCCAATCAAAGTACACATTATACTTTTAAAACAAGACACTGGTTATATAGTCTCAGTGTTAAAAACTCTAAACAACTGCACCAATTATGCAAGATAGAAAGCAATGTATTGACAATTTGACATTGATTGACTATTGATTTATAGGCTATATTGAATTTAAAATGTTGATTAGCTGGACATACTAGTCAATATGGATGCACATCCCTCAGTAAATAATAACCATAAATCAAGAATTGCTTCAACATGCATAATAATAAATAAAACAATCATACTGATGCCGAAAATACCCTGTAGAGAGAACCAAAGTTAATCCCAAAAGCCAAAGCTCAGGGTTATAATTTATTATTTTCTTCTTATTTATGTTTACGTTAATATTCACTTACTTAATAATATTCACTTGTTATCTTAACATTCTATAGAAAATACTCTATTCAATAAATATTGTTTGTTTGAACGTCATTCTGTTCTATACTATTGTTGTACTTATTCTTTGACTGTTTTGTTTAAAGGAGGGAGGATTGTATGGGAGCGCTGAAGTGTCAGGTGCGACTGGCAATGGCAAATGGTTTACATAGCTCAGACATCACGGGTCAGGTAGAGGCCCCATTAGCAGGATTAGGCTTAGGGCCCCAGGGGGAGGTCAGGATCGGCACTGGGTTTAGCAGTCGATTCTGTTCCCTACCGGAATTCCTGTTCCCTTTACGCAATCATACTACAAATCATGCGTAGTTGCCCAGTCACCATACATACCATCAGAACTGAATTCGAGCAAAAAGCACAATTGAATGTACGGGAAGCCAAAAGGTTAAAAAAGGATTGTATTTTTTCCCGAAATCTAAGCGTTTTTTTATTTTTATTAGAAGCGAGTATTTCCCCATCTGTCAAAGGGGGTGCCCCTTTTTCAGGTCAGAGCAACTGCCCCACAAAATTCCTGTGCACGTCCCTGATCTTCAGTAATTTTGCTTCTTCTCCAGTAAATGTCTTGATTTAAGAATGTTTAGATGTTTCTGCTGGAAAACGAGACTGAAACACTGAGGTGTGTGTGTGTGTGTGTGTGTGTGTGTGTGTGTGTGTGTGTGTGTGTGTGTGTGTGTGTGTGTGTGTGTGTGTGTGTGTGTGTGTGTGTGTGTGTGTGTGTGTGTGTGTGTGTGGCCTGGTAAACCCTACGTTATGGGGACAAAATGTCCCCACTAGGATGGCAATATCCGAAATCCTTGTTCGTGTGGGGACATTTTTTGGTCCCCATGAGGAAATCAGCTTATAAATCATACTAAGTGATGTTGTTTGAAAATGTAAAAATGCAGAATGTTTCCTGTGATGGGTAGGTTTAGGGATAGGGTTAGTGTAAGGGAATAGAATATACAGTCTGTACAGTATAAAAATCATTATGTCTATGGAAAGTCCCCATAAAACATGTGTGTGTGTGTGTGTGTGTGTGTGTGTGTGTGTGTGTGTGTGTGTGTGTGTGTGTGTGTGTGTGTGTGTGTGTGTGTGTGTGTGTGTGTGTGTGTGTGTGTGTGTGTGTGTGAGTCTGGGGGGAACGAGACAGAAACACTGAGGTGTGTGTGTGTGTGTGTGTGAGTCTGGGGGGAACGAGACAGAAACACTGAGGTGTGTGTGTGTGAGTGTGTGAGTCTGGGGGGAACGAGACAGAAACACTGAGGTGTGTGTGTGTGAGTCTGGGGGGAACGAGACAGAAACACTGAGGTGTGTGTGTGTGAGTCTGTGAGTCTGGGGGGAACGAGACAGAAACACTGAGGTATTTTCAGCTTCTGGTGAAGTGTGTATAAATAGATGTACGAACATCAGCAGAAAATGTGTTTAAAATAACAAGAAGGATGTTTGATTCTGGAAACATTTCTGTTTTTAATGTTGTGGCCCGTCTGGGTTTTTCTCTGTTATTACAACACAACCCGAGCGTCTTCGACTTCCTCATAATGATCTTCTCCAGTGTAAATCTAGATCTTAATCACAGACAACAGTGACTCAGAAACAATCGAAACTCCCCCTTCGTTTAATACAAAGAGAGCGTCCACATTCATTTACTCCACATGACAACTCTCGTGATTCTGCTGCCCCCATGTGGTGGAAGTTAAACACAATTAAATAATATTAAATAAAATAATGAAATAATATAAACATTTAAATAAGTAAATTAAATGAAGACACTACTTAAGAATAGGGTAAATATTTTAACTAATAGATATCACTAGCTTATTCACAGTACATTAAGACAATTGTTTTGTATTACAGGTTTTCTGAAAAATTGTTTAAATATGCAAATGAAGCATTGTCTAATTAAATATGCACTCATTTGCATACATTTCCATTCAGAAATCTGAATATTGGATAGTTAGACTCAAAAGTTTGATTTTTTTTTTGACATATTAGATTAGAGGATTTTGGAAATAAATCAGAAAATATTGTGAACAAACAGAAATAAATACATTTTCACCATGTTTTCAGGAATAAATGTTGTAGAAATCATGAGATTGATATATGAACAACCCTTCAGAATATAGATATGAATAAAACTGTAAGGTTTGGTGTGTGTAAAGAGATTTCTGACTCTGGCTTTACAGATCGAGTGCAATAAAACACTGTGTATTCTCTATATCAGAGTCAGTGTTCCTGAACTCCTGAAACGCCTCCACTGTAGTCTCGAGTTTCTCCCGGGAACGAACACGTCACAATATTCCTCATTATAATAATTCATGCGCAGAATAAAGGGGCGGGGCCTGGTTGAGTTAGTCAGTAGTGTGTTAAACTGGCGGTTATGGAAAGGGGCGGGGCATTTCCCAAACACACTCGAAGCGCTCGACCAATCACAACACACTGCTCCAGCCGACCAATCAGAGCACAGTGTGCTTTTCAGGAGGAGGGGCTTCATAGAGACAGGAAGTAAACAGAGCGTTACTGACAGACTGGGAAGAGAGGAGCCGCAACAATGGAGAATATGAGGAGAATAATCAACATTCAAGCAGGAACACCTGTTCTAGTAGAGCCTGAAACTACACTAAGACTGGCGTCACAGATCCTCTTTAAAGGTGCAGTGTGTAATATTTAGGAGGATCTGGTGACAGAAATGCAATATCATAAACAAAACTGTGTTCAGTGGTGTAGAAATGCAATATAAAGAGCTTACATAATGACCCGTTATGTGTTTATTAGCTTAGAATGAGCGTTTCTCTACACACACCGCGGGTCCGCTTACACACACGTTTCTACGGTGGCCCTGAGCGGACAAACGCGTTTCGTCACTATGTTGTTCTTCATGATAAGAAGCTGCTAAAGTCAGCGAATAAAACACTGACACAATGATGAACAAGTAACAATAATATTCGCAATTACATCGTTTTACTGAATAATCAAGTAAACCTAATTTATTAATTTATCTTTGTAAAGAAACCTCATTGTTTAACTGGCTACTGTTACTGTCTCAGTCGACGACATCACTTCCTGTCGGCCACCGTAACTTCTGTTGGGTGCGATTCACAACCTCACCACTAGATGCTGCTAAAACTTACACACTGCACCTTAAAGTGACCTCGATAGCTGTTTTGTTGTTTATTCTCAGGACGTGCGGGCGAGTGGTCAGACCTGATGAAGAGCCCCTCGGAGTCGCTCCTCATCATCATGGGCGCGTCAGTCGTCGGGGCGCTAGTGCTCCTCGTCGTCATCACCATCGTCTTCGTCAACTGTCACCTCAGACGCAAGAACAAGAAGCTGAAGCGGGCGCTCAGCGCGAGAACGTGAGTCTGTGACCTTTGACCCTGTGTTTATCTGAAGATGAGGATGAGGATGATGAAGGTGTTTGTGTCTCAGGGTGGAGATGATCAGTCTGTCGAGGCAGGTGTCGATGAGGAGACTCGACTCCATCACCTCTGACCCCAGGACTGCGGTACTCCTCGCTCAGTTCACATTCACATTTATCCAAAGCGACTTGCAAATTAGGACTAAATTAAAGTTTAAGTTTAGTAGTTTTGTGGTTTGGTTTAATATTGCTATTTGGGTTTAATTTATTTTTAGATCAGTTTTCATTTTTATTTATTCAATATTTCAGCTATTATAATAAAACAGAAATGTTCAGATTTTATATTTGTGTGATTCACCACAGAATCAGAATAAATTGGGTACCACTTTACTTCAGTCCTTTATATAAAATATCCATTATTAAAGTATTTTTATACCATAACTATGCACCTTATATACATTATAATACTAAGCTATTAATTCTTACGCCTTTAGAAAGTATAATACATTAAAAGACACAACAAACAACAAAGAAATCTGCAAATATTATAATACATCTTAAAATTATTTATGAAAAGATCAAATGCATTATAACATACATTATGAATACCTTTATAACACATTAAACATAAAGCGTTTAAGTACCAAAATGTTCGTGTAAAGTATTTATAAATTAGTTAACGTTTATTTTCTGTTTTTATTTTCATGAGAATCTAATA